CACCGCGCCCCGCCCCGCCCCGCCGGCCGGCACGCGCACCCGGAACACCACAGTCATAGCAAACACACGACCTGCAAGCGGTACACCGCGGTCGGCCCAGACACAGCAAACAAGAAAACCAAAACTGCAACTTTGTACCCCGAAAAAAATACCACGCGACCCCATTAAACATCTGATCCTTTTATGTCGCTCAAAAGGACAACGAGCATCCAGCAAAGAACCAAAAACAGTTAGCAAACACTCCAAACTGCAGATGGTGCAATAACGTACCGCTACGCGCACAGCCAATCGGACAGCAGAGTGCATTGATCCCCCCCTTTTCAAACGGCGTTCAGCAGAGTAGAATATACAATCCTTTTTCATTTTCGACTGAGTAAGGCTGGCGGGGGGCGCGGCTCATGTCAGCAGCGCAGCGGGCCGAGGCGGAAGAGGAACGCGACGGACAATAAGGAGACGTGGACCCTAACAATGACGGGGCCAGCCGGGAGACAGGCGTCGCGACGGCGGCGTCGCCCCGGGCGCCCCGCGCGGCCGCAAGGAGACAGGCGTCGCGGCGTCGGAGCGAGGAGGAGGGCGTGGAGGGCGGGGGCGGCCGCCTCCTGCTGCACTACTTCCACCTCTATGGCTCCGTCCACCGCAGTGCTGCTAGAGATATAAAGCAGGTGAATGTCCCACGGGCTGCAGTTTTACGGTGTGAGAGTTGAGAGAGGCAGACCCAGAAGTCAAAAGAAGGCCGCGCGGGGCGACAACATCTGCATGTCCGAGAACGGCGAGAGTATATATGCAACCCGCCCACATACGCTTCGCAGCAGCACACTGTCATGTCCTTGCGAAGAAATTTCTTTTGTAAGCTGAGAGGAATTTGGCTGCTTTGCAATACAAAGAAAATTGCTTTAATAATTGACCATTTCACCCAGTGGCCACACTGGCGGTCTTCCGGTTGGTACAAAGACCTTTACGATCTAGTAAGGACTAGAATATTTCATTAGATGTGACCCCTGATCGTTGCTTAGTGGTCAGAGAGCTCGAATTTTGCTTCGAAAACCACAAAACACATATTAGGCCGCCTCCGAGGGCCACAAACAGATGTTGTATACCAACCGGAAGACCGCCAGTGCGGCCACCGAGTGAAATGGTCAATTACGAAGCTTCGCAAGGATTTAACAGTGCGTGGACGAAAATTAGAAGAGAGCGTATGGCACACCCCAGCATTATACCCTGCCTCTCCGTCTTTAAGTGTTCTAATTCTCTCACACATTTAGATGTGACTGACTTGGAATCCGACAGCCTGGTCCTGGTGATGTACAGGAGAGAGGGGGAGAGCAACGCGGTAAAAATAGTTTCTTGTATTTTAAGACCTGGTCTTGAATGCCATTGCCGTTCTCCATAAAGATCCAAGACAGGGTCTTGAAATAAGAAAGTTTTTTTTTTTTTTTTTACCGTGCAGGTCGAGGTCGAAGCGGGCTCAGGCCCAGTATTGTTGGCTGGTATCGAGTGGTATAGGGGCGCCCGAGGAACGGGGCACCGCACGCGGCGACCGGCGCCGGCAAGCAACAATTCGGCCGCCCTTTACAGCTCATGGCCCAGTATTGTTGACTGGTATCGGGTGGTATAGGGGCACCACACCGCCGCGACCGACGCCGGCGACCAACTATTCGCCCCCCCTTTCCAGCGAGTGGTCAACCAAGCTGACACATTTAAGTATCGTATGGTTTCAGTGTGATGTTTAAGCGTATCAGCTGCTGAAAAGTACACGTTTCCTCATAAACGATTTAACTTTTGTTGCGCATATCAGTTACTCCGACGCTTGTTAAAGTCGGGAAAGAAAATCCTACATTCCCCCATACCAGCCATGAGTTTTACCGGTGCACACGCACTCGGCGCCGCCGCCGGCCGGCTCTGGCTGGGCGCTTGGCAGGCAGCCGCCCGGCAACAGAGTTACCAGCAGACAACATCCTCCGATGACCTGCTGCTGCTGGACACCGTCAGTTTACTCAAACACGTTCCGAGGGGCGCAACAAACGCAGATCGGGAGAACGCCCGCCCGCCGCCCGCCCCGAGCACGCAGCCGGCGGCGGCATCGCTATCGCCGAGCTATCGCCCGCCGTCGTGTGCCACCGTTACCGCACATAGCCCCATCGCCGTGACCGAGTCCCGAGTAGTATCGCTTAAATGATAAAACGACGAGCTTTGCCGCCAGGGCGACTGAGGCCGGCCCCCGTGCTGTTAAACCTCACTTACCGACGACGCCACAATTCATTACTGACACACTCTTCGCTTCGCATACTATACAACACTCTGCGGCCTTATTAATTTTTACTTTTTACTTTTATTTTTCCTGTTCCTCGACGCGGGTTCAAGCACCGTGTGCCCCACACACGGAAAAAAAAAGACTGTGTCGCAGTGACCAACCTCTGTTTGATAGGCTTGAGTCGATAGCTGCAATCGAAAATCCGATGATTACAACCAGAATTTGGTTGCCACGATCAAATACTTGTAGGATAACAACAAAGCACCTCTTGGTTACGTCGTACAAGCATTTGATCGTGGCAACCAACTTCTGGTTGCTATCATCAGATTTTCGATTGCAGCTATCGACTCAAGCCTATCGAACCGAGGTTGGTCACTGCGACAAAGTCTTTTTTTTCCGTGCAGGTTTGGGCCGGGCGCTGCTCTGCTCGGCCCGCTCCTCGTTCCCTCCCACGAGGCCGCCTCCTCCGTCTCCTCGGAAGCGGATCGCTCCATCGCTCCGCCGCCGCCCTGTCCCCCTTCCCTTTGTTGGGCACGCGAGTTACACAGTCAGAAGAAAACTGGGCGTGGGGAACGCGCAGCGCATACCTGTTACTACTACGCGGATGTCCAACCGGACGCCTCCAAAATATAGGCTTCGCCCTCTCGGAACGACTCTATCATACGCGGGAAACGAAACCGTTCTCCTTTTGTCCTTCCCAACTTCCTTCCCCCACACTCTCGTTGCTTTAGATGATCAAGGACGATCGGCTTATCATAAAGTCGGAACCGGCAACTGGCAAATCAAAACGAGAAACTTTTACCATCGGGTAGAGAAAGCCACACACAAGGGAAGGGACTCTTTCTAAAAAGTATGTGTGTCTTTCACAACATTTAAGTTTTGCACGAAGCGCGTCATGTATTCCATCATCAACGATGAAAAGTAGTTAAAGAGACGATTCACTGTTTATTATTACGCGATATATGTATTGTCTGTGTCATTAGTCATTCCCCCCCCCTCCCCCCCACACACAAACACGCCCCTACACTTGCCCTGCCCTGCTCCCAAGAGGTTGAGTACACGTGTACTTGAAGGACTCTAGTCCGTCCGCCGCGCCAGCTCTCGGGCCCAACCCGCACCGTGCACACACACGGACACACACACGCGCGCGCGCGCGCGCGCATACGGGCACGGGCACGCGCACGCACGCGTCCACAGGCGATTGGGCGTCATAAAGGAACTTCCCCACAACACCCCGCCTAAATAATCCTGGACGGCAGCCCAACTCTCTGGCCGGCAGAGATTGGCCAGGACCGCGGCGCGTCCGTCCCAATCAGCCAATCACGGCGGCGCGCCTAAAAGAGCGCGAGCATTCAAACGACCAATGAGCACTACCGGGCGGAGCGGAGCGACATGAGTTGAAAATAAAGCCAGCCAGAGCCAAGCCAGCCAGCCAGCCAGCCAATACCCCCCGGGGGAGGGGCGGGGGTCCCCAGCAACAGCGGGGAGGAGCGGGGTTCATCCACACAACGACCGGCACAGAGAGAATTATTTAGTTGACCGCTCTTACGACCCTTCAGAAACGCACATTAAAATGATTCATTTGTCTAACACTAGACAAATGCTCATTTTTCACCTCCCCTTCCCATAAAAAAAAATAACAAAATAAAATTACATATTTCAGTGATGACCTGTCACTCATTTATAATTGCAGTCCAAGCACTCGTTCACTAGTAACTCACCAGAATACGATGACTTTGAAGACTCCACCAGCTTGAATGTGAACGGGATGTGCACCTTCATCATCTTCACTTGTGGTATTCTCGGTGGAACAGGGTGAACCGAGCTCCCAAACATCATGTCTTCCCCGTGAACACGGAACACCATCATATTCCTGACAAAATATGCCAAGTGGTGTAAAGATTTGAACAGAGGCTTCAATGGTTGGACAACAAAGTTATCTTCAACATTTATCATCAATAATTTCTATCAGACAACGTTAAAGGGATAACAATGTCAGAAAAAGATATTAATGCAGTAACTTGGGATTGAAAGGTATCTCCAAAATACTTAATATCAGATTCATATAGTCTGCACCCCAGGGGCTAGACAAATTTTAGTGCCTGACAACTCTAGCTAGGGCAGTCAAAGTGTGCAGCCAATAAGAAATTATTTCATTTTTCAATTAATTTTCAGTAGAAAATACCCTTGAATGTACTAGGACAGCAGAGGGTCAAAAGTTTTTATACAAAAATCTGACCTTTCTCTTAAAGAGAAAGATATGTTTGAACAGCCACCCAAGCCTAAGAGAACTTGTCCCTGTGTATGAGCCCCCAAAGATGCTCTTGTACTATCTTAATCCATAGTGATGTAGGTTAGGGAATAGATCGGGAACTGACACGCACAACCGCGACACTGCCGTGCAAGGATGTGGACCAGGCTCACCTCATAATGAACAACACCATCCCGCACAGACATATCAGCACCACAAACACAGAGAAAATGTTGGACAGTTCGGCCACCGACACCAGCATTGCTGTCATCGCCACCATCATTGTCCTTTCTTGTTTTGAACAACAATGCGTCGAAAAGGTGTAAAACACATCAAACGATCGTCACGGTAAGTAAAAATGACGGAATGTCACTTGACGCTAGACGGCGGACCTGACGTTACACAACCATAGCGTTTTCAAAGCCATTGCGGAGCAGACTGGCGAATGTGAAAGTGTTCGCGACAAAATAAAGCAGAAGGTTTAGTGGGGATGGACGCCATCTTTGATACTGGAGAACGACGCGCCCCCTAGCGGTGTCGACTTGTACTAAAAGAGGAGCAGCCAAAACCCGCGCAAGAAACTTCCTCATTTTATGACAAAAGTCTTCTGAGTTGTGCCTATTAATTGTTA